CCTCCTATGAGAAGGATGATTAATGTTAAGACAAATGTAGATTTTTATTGTGGAGATCAAGTTAGCATTGCTAAAAATTACTGGCAGCTTATGAATAACATAGAATTATGGTAGTTTATGAAGGATGAATCAGAGTTGCCTCATCTTTGGATGAATTCTTTCACGACTGTCCAATTTTTGCACATCGGAGTTATATGATGAAAATCCACAATAATCGAAAGGCATATCGGATGTGTCAATTGCCATATGGCTGATAAATACGTGGGCTTTGAGTACAGAATGGTACAGGTTATCAAAATCGTATGTTGAATCGAATAGGTGGAGGGTCTTGTAAATCGGATCGTAAATCGTCATATTCTACTAAATATTGCTTTAAAAAGAACAAAAATAAATAAATAAAATTGAAGTTCTAACAACAAATTAACAACTGTAAGTCAATAACTAGCTTAAAATATCTTGCAGAATAAGAAATCCATCAAGCCCAACAGATACACAGCATTAGTAACAAATCTGTCATGTGGCTCATTTTCACCAGCAGCTGCCCATCTGAGTCCAGATATGCAAATGACAATTTTTGATACACAAGACTAGCTATCTACTGCAATTATAACAGAATAATGTGATGTGTAATTTTTTCTTTTGCTGCATGTATAAAGTTGGTTAGGTTGGAATATTCCTTTTGTCTCCTCTATGTGTATATAACGTTAGGTGCCTCTTGTGTATAATTTAATTTTTCAGTAAGTTGATGAATATAGAATGAGAATTTCTCTTCAATCATTTTTGTTCATTTCCTAATTCAGTGTTTTACATTTCATTATTTTCCCAAATTTACATGGTATCAGAGCTTTTATGACGGCTCTTGAGAATACATCTTCACCTACTATTGAGACTCCTCTCGAGAATACATCTTCTCCCCTTCAATCAAAGACAACCAACATACCAATTTTGCAGACCCACTTAATCCTTTTCGCCTTGAAACATCAGATAACCCAGGAGAAAATCTTGTTTGTGATTTGTTAACTACAAACAATTATGAAACCTAGTCACGCTCGATGCAGCGTGCCCTTAGAGCCAAGAACAAGCTTGGCTTCATCAATGGAAAAATTTCCAAACCTCTCAATTCGACAGATGATCTGTTTGAAGCTTGGGCAAGGTGCAATGACATGATAATTTCTTGGATTCATAATGCTATCAGTCCAGAACTTCGGTCTAGTGTTGCCTTCATGGATGATGCCTTTGAGATTTGGAATGAATTGGCTGAACGCTTTTCTCTGCAGAATGCTCCACGTATTTACCAACTCAAAAGGGCACTGGTAAATTTGTCTCAAGAGGGAGATTATGTTAGTGTTTATTATGGTAAACTAAAAGGAATTTGGGATGAACTTGCTGTTTATGACCCAATTCCAGATTGTCATTGTGGAAAGCTTAAGGTATTGGTTGATATATATCATAGAGACTACACTTTTCAATTTTTGATGGGCCTAAATGATGTATATGAACATACCTGAGACCAAATCATGCTTATTGAGCCACTTCCCCATGTCAATAAAGTCTTCTCATATGTTCAACAGCAGGAAAGGCAACGACAAATTACCTCCATTCCTGTTGGTTCTGACTCTGTTGCCTTTTACACTAGAAACACCAATCCCAATTTTAAACCTCAAACCCACAAAATACTGGTCCCAATAAGGAGAGGCCATACTGCAAATTTTGTAAAATCCCTGGTCATCATTTTGAAAAGTGTTTTAAAGCTGGTAATGCAGAGGCACCAATTTGCAGCCATTGCCATATGACAGGACACATGGTAGACAGATGTTATAAGTTACATGGCTACCCAGCGAGTTACAAAATGCACAACAAGTCTAAGGGAACTGGAAAATTTGCTAATCATGTTTCTGTTCAGAGCATGGACATTAATGGGGAGGATAATTGTGATAGCGTTTCTTTGACCAAAGATCAATACAATGACCTCATGGCTTTGCTCAAACACAAGGACTCTCCTACAACTTCACATGTGGCTAACTAGATTCAATCTCTGCTTCCAACTAGTTCTTCTAACTCTCAATCCACTCCTATGTCTGGTATTAATCATTGTTTAGTTGTTCCTAATTTTCATTCTTCAATTGCACACTCCCTCATTTGGATAATAGATACTGGGGCTACAGATCATATGATCTGTAATCCTTCTCACTACACCACTCCTCCCACCAAGGTATCATATTCTGTTATATTACCTAATGGTGGCATTTCTTCAGTTACCCATATAGGTGATGTTCAAGTCACTGACTCCATCACCTTACGAGATGTTTTATGCCTACCCTCATTTAGTTTCAATGTGCTTTCAGCCAAGAAACTTGCTGACCAACTTCACTGTTGTTTGATATTTTTCTCTGATTGTTGTTTTATTTAGGACCTTGCATCGTGGACAACGATTGGGAAGGGTAGGATGGAGCGTGGCTTGTACTACCTGTAGCCTGACGAGATCTCCCCTAAAGCTCTCCAACATGCCGTCTATCGACTTTCTTGCAATTTAAATTTTTCTTCAGCTTTTGTAATCAACAAACTTACTGAGCATGAGTTATGGCACTATCGCTTAGGCCATATTTCAGATGCTAGACTCAGGCTTATAAAAGACCCGTTTGTAACTGCATCTTTAAACTTGAAGTCACAAACTTCTCTTTCTTGCTCCATCTGTTATTTGGCTAAGCAACACAAATCTTCTTTTTCCTTAAGTGAGCACAAATCAATTAATTTGTTTGAATTAATTCACTGTGACTTGTGCGGACCCTATTCTGTCACTTCACATGATGGTTCTTCAGATTTCTTATCCATCATTGATGACTTGTCACGTAGTACATGAGTATACATGCTCAAACACAAATCAGATACTAAGAAATGCCTTGTGTCTTTTACCAACCTAGTTGAAAATCAGTTTGGAACCAGAATAAAAATACTTCGAAGTGACAATGGAACAGAGTTTTACCTTAATGATTTTTACTCCCAAAAGGGAATCATTCATCAAAAAACGTGTGTCGAAACCCCACAACAAAATGAAGTCGCTGAAAGGAAAAATCAGCATTTGCTTAATATAGCACGAGCCTTATCATTCCAATCTGGTGTTGCTGTCAAATTTTGGTCAGAATGTATCCTCACAGCTACTTACATCATAAATCGCACTCCTACTCCATTATTGCACAACAAGAGCCCTTTTGAAATTTTGTTTGGCGTCAAGCCTCAATACAACCACATGAAAGTGTTTGGTTGTTTAGCTTTTGCTTCCACTTTCTCACAAGGCCGCAAGAAATTCGATCCTAGGAGCAGACCTTCCATTTTTATTGGTTATCCTTTCGGCGTCCAAGGTTACAAGTGACTTGATTTACAATCTCACACCATCTTTATCTTTCGCAATGTCATTTTTCATGAAACAGTGTTTCCTCTTAAGTCTTCTACACCTATTTCTTCACATCAATCTTTCCCTAATCAACATGTTATCACAAATCCTATACCAGACAATTCTTCATTTTCTCTTCCTCCACCTACTTCTATTACCTCCACTCAATCTCCCATAATTCACTCAACCGATTCCCCTGCACCTCACTCATCCGATTTCCCCATTTCTCACTCCAGTCCTACATCTTCTCCCCAAACAGAATCTTCACTTATTAGGCTTGTTGAACCATCTCTTCGCAGATCATGTAGGACTAGAAATGCTCCTCAATATTTACAAGATTTTCATTGCAAGCAAGCTGTTGCTACAGAACTTGTACGAGCCACTTCCACCACTTCTTCTCTTTCACTGTCAAGGGTCAAGGGACAAACTTCAGGCACTATCTTTCCACTTTCACATACACTTTCATATCATAGATTGTCTCCTAGTTACACAGCGTTTACTTCATCTATTTCTACTCATGTTGAACCTGTTAGCTACAGTGAAGCTGTAAGGAGTCCCTATTGGGTTAAAGCTATGGATAATGAGTTGATGGCTCTTGAAATCAATAACACTTGGACACTCACTGATTTATCGCCTGGCAAGGAGGCAGTGGGTTGTAGGTGGGTTTACAAAATCAAATATCATGCTGATGGTAGTGTCGAGAGATATAAAGCGAGGTTGGTAGCTAATGGATTTACACAACAAGAAGGAATAGATTATCATGGAACATTTTCCTCCGTAGCTAAGTTGGTTACCATTAGATCTCTTTTGGCCATTGCAGCCATTAAGGGGTGGCATTTGTATCAATTCAATGTTAACAATGCCTTTCTCCATGGCAATTTAGATGAGGAAGTGTATATGAAGAGACCACCAGGCTATGCTAAAGGGGAACAAAAACAAGTTTGCAGGTTGAATAAAAGTCTTTATGGCTTGAAACAAGCCTCGAGACAATGGTATGCAAAATTTTCCAGACTATTGATTCAGTTTGGTTTTGTTCAATCAAAGGCAGATTATAGCCTCTTCACTCAAATTAAAGACTCTACATTCACTGCTCTCTTAGTTTATGTAGATGACATTATCGTGGCAAGTACTTCTATGGACTCTATTCATGCTTTACAAGCCTGTCCACAACTTGAGTCAATTCATGGATTCACCAAGGCTTCCACATCTTCAAGCTGCGAACAACATTTTGCGCTATTTGAAGAATGCTCTTGGCCAAGGGATTTTATTTCCCTCTTCATCTTCACTGACTTTACAAGCCTTCTGTGATTCTAGTTGGGCCTCATGTCCTGACTCTAGAAGATCAGTGACAGGTTATTGCATTCTCCTAGGACAATCCTTAATCTCACGACGCTCAAAGAAACAAACCATTGTATCTCGATCATCTACAGAAGCCGAGTACAGAGCCATAGCTAGCACTTGTTGTGAGATCACTTGGCTAAAATATCTACTTCTTGATCTCCAGATTCCTCATATTCAACCAATCGTGTTACATTGCGACAACCAAGCTGCCTTACATATTGCAGCCA